CTTGTTTTTTGGGGCTGGGGTGCCGGGGGGGGTGCTCCCCGGGGGAGGGGGTGCCCGCTGCCCAGCATGCTTATAGAGGGGGAAAAAAAAAAAAAGCAAATCGAGCGCACGTCCCGGTTCACAGCCCTACCCATCGCTAGTGTCTTTACCTGACTGTGGGGTCCCATCATGCTGTTAGGATTGTGGGGTGGAGGCTGTGCGTGTGGCGAGGGCTGTGACCCAGGCGGTCCCTGTGAGGTCAGACAGTAGAAGGAGGTTATAGATTAGCACATGAAAGCGCAGAAAGAGCTAAAAAAAGGATTGACGGGTGGACCTGTTTTGTCGGGGAGTCAGTTCTCCCATTTTTTAAATTTTTTTTTCTCTTTTTCCTCTTTTCAATTGAGTTTCTATCCATTTGTAGTTGAACAATGAATCATGATGTATGCAAAAAAAAAAAAAATTAAAAATCAGAACATCTGTCAAAATACAGCAGCCGCATTGACGGTAAACGGTCCGGTAGTTCAACCAAGTCTGCAATGATCAACACACAGGGAAACACTTTGCAAGGGCGTGCAACAAGGAAGAAAAAATATGCAGGACAGAACCAGAGAGGCTGGGGGAAGTAGAAAAAAACACCCCCAAACAAAAAAATAATGTCATTTTTTCCTCTCTCAACCCAAAGGTTGGAAACACGTCCGGGGTTTGGGTTTGGTTTTTTGGTTCGGTGGAGGTGCTGGAGCGAGCGCAGAGGATGAGGAGCACGTCCCAGCTCACGCCTGGGCAGCGTTTGGCCGGCGCAGCCGGGGCTGCGTCGCCAGCCTGTACGGATGCAACATCCTTCCTCGAGGTGGATTCCCTAAGGATGCGAGCAAAACGGCTTGCGAGCAAAGAAAGGACGTCTAGGGGAAAAAGGAGAGATTAGTCGGTGCAGGTTTAAGGCTGCAATGCAGCAGCTGCTGACATTTTGGGCTTGAACGCCCACTTTTTTTTTTTTCCTTCTTTTTTTTTAAATTTCCCTTAAAAGCACGAAATGAAAATTTGCTTGGAAAAAATCGCGAGCTCTATGCAAGAATATACCAGTGCGTGTTAACGTAAGGAAGAAAAAAAAGAGTATTTTTTGAGTCAGAGGAGGTGTAATTGGTAGAGAAAGCAAACGAGCTTTGTCAGTAGGTGATGGGAAGCGACGGCAGGCTCCGGGACCGGCGCCGGAGCAGATGTTCTCTACCTGCCTCGTTACTAATTTCAACAAGTGTTCGCCTTCTAGCTGCTGCCAGCGATGGCATGGTTTGTTACCATGAGCAATTTTCTTAATTAACAGACATTAATTAGCCATTTAGCAATTTTGCAAGCATTTGTTTAGCAGCTTTCCTAAACATGAATACCACTGTGATAATGGTACTGATTAGAGGGTCCCCTAATTAACAGTACAGGGAAGGAAAATTGAAATCACATAAATTAAAAAGGGAGGGGAAGTTAATGAAGGCAGGACATATTTGCACCTGCAAATCTTTTGTACGGCGGAAACTTGAGTGCAATGTAAATAAAGTAAGAGGGTGGGTTTTTTTCCTCTTTTTTTTTTCCCTTTTTTTTTTTTCCCCCCCCTCTGAACGGTTCGGCGGCGAGATGGAGCCAAGCGGATTTAAACCAACAGCCTCCTGCCAGCCTCTCCGCTCCAGCCGTTGCGCCCGGGGGAGTAAGTCCCACCGTTTACACCACCATTTCTTCTCCGGGAGCCGAAGGCAACCAGCCCCTGCCCTGCTCCAGGCGAGCCTCGGCTGGAAGGGGTCACGGCACCGCAGGACAACCCTCCCGGTGCCAACACAACCACCTTCTCCATCCGCGTCCCACCGGAGCAGAGAAGACGGACCTCTCCGGTCCGACTGCAGCATCCTTTAGCAGAAGTCCTCTCCATGCACGGAACTCGACTTATTTTTGCGTCTGAGGCGGCTAACTCTGTGCGAACGCCAACCGCCCCAGGGCAGCAGCCACCTCCCACC